AGTGGAACATAAATTTAGAGAAATCAATGTGAGCTCAACTGTGAAGGAATTTAAACACTAAACTGAGTTTGGACTTTATTCTAGAAGTAAGTGTTAGCAAACTTTTTCTGTAAAGGGACAGATAGTATATATTTTAGACTTTGCAGGCCAAGAGTCAAAATTGAGGATATCATGTACCTATATGATTACTTTAAAAATGTAAAAGCCATTCTTAGCTCACAAGCTGTACAAAACCAGCAGATAGTGGGCCAGATTTGGCCAAGGGCAGTAGATTACCAACTCCTACTATAGACAGTAAAGAGTAGTATGCTAAATATGGTCATTTTTACCATTTAGAAATGTAATGGGCAATAACTGGGGAGTATATGTGAACGGGGAGAAACAGAGCCAGGCAGACCTGAGATGAATGCAGTAGTCCAAGAAATGTGGATTTACATAATAAAACTATAGCATTATGCATAGAAACTAAAATATAGAATCACTGTAGGTCTTCTTTCTGTAGGTGTCTATCTGTTGGTGGACATAAGTTTTTTTTCACAATATTTTGGCTATTGTGAATAATGCTGTAATAAACATGGGAATACACATATCTTTTCACTGTCTTTATTTCATTTCCTTTGGATGTATACCCAGAGGTAAGATTGCTGGATCACATGATAATTCTAATTTTAATTTTCTGAGGAACCTTCATACTGTTTTCCATATTGGCTGCATCAATTTGCATTCCCACCAGCAGTGCACAAGGGTTCCCTTTTTCTCTACATCCTCACCAACATGTATCTCTTGTTTTCTTGATAATAGCCATTCTGACCAGTGTGAGGTGATACCTCATTGTGGTTTTGATTTGCATTTCCCTGATGATTAATGTTATTGAGCATCTCTTCATGTACTTTTTGGCTATTTGTATGTCTTCTTTAGAGAAATGTCTATTCAACTGCTCTGTGTATTTTTTAATTTAACTGTGCATTTTTTGATGTTGTTGTTATAGAGTTTTCTGAGTTCTTTATATATTTTGGGTATTAACCCTTTATTAGATATATGGTTTGCAAATATTTTGTCTTATTCTGTCAGTTACCTTTTCATTGTTTTTGACTCTTTCATTGTGCAGAAGCTTTTTTTGTATAGTTTGTATAGTCCCACTTGTTCATTTTTGCTTTTAGTGCTGGTGCTTTTATTGTCCTATTCAAAAAAATTATTACCAAAACCAATAGCAAGGAGCATTCTCCTATGTTTTCTTCTATAAGTTTTACAGTTTCAGGTCTCATGTTTAAGTGTCTAATGCATTTTAAGTTAATTTTTGTGAATGGTGTCTGGTCAGGGTCCAATTTCATTTTTCTTCATGGGGTTACTCAGCTTTCCTGACAGTTTATTGAAAAGGCTATCTTTCCCTATTGAGTATTTTGTCAAATATTAGTTTATTGTTTATGCAGAAAGTTTCTGGGCTTTCTGTTCTGTCTGTTATCTATGTGTCTGTTCTTAGGCCAGTACCATATTGTTTCAATTAGTATAACTTTGTAGTGTAGTTTGAAATCAGGAAATGTGATGCCTGTAGCACTGTTCTTCTTTCTCATAATTGCTTTGGCTGTTTGGGATCTTTTGTGGTTTCATACAAGTTTTAAGACTGTTTTTTATATTTCTGTGAAAAATGCCATTGGAATTTTACAAGGAATTGCATTGAATCTATAATTAGCTTCGGGTAGTGTGGACATTTTAACAGTATTAATTCTTCCAATCCATGAACACAGGATATCTTTCCATTTGTTTGAATTGTGTTCAATTTCTTTATCAAAATCTGTAGTTTTCATTATATAGGTCTTTCACTTCCTTGGTTAAATTTATGCCTAAGTATTTTACTTTTTTGATACTATTGTGAATGAGACTTTTTATGCATAATTTCATTATAAAATTGATAGAAAAATATAATGAAAATGACATAGCATTAATATTGCTAGTAAACAGCTCTTACAAATTAATGGAAAAGACAATAAATCAAAAGAAAAAGATCAAAAGGCAGTTTATATACAAGTATAACCAAGTGACCAGTAAAAATGTGAAAAAAATGTGCAGCCTTAGTAGCATTAGGAAACTTCAATTGAAGAAGCAATATTAACTCCACATATTATCAAAAGGTAAAAGAATAACTAACATTAATTACAGGGATTAGTAGGGTGAAAGGTTAGGGTGCTCACTTACATTACTGTGAGTTTGAAAAATGTTAAGGCATGTAACATGGAAATACTGTATTAAAACAAGTAATTAATATACCCTGGCTCAGAGCTCCTGCTCTTGGGAATGGAAATACAGGTGTCATCATGAGGGTGTTTATAGCAGCATAGTTTATGAACTATTTCTCTCAACTGGAAGATTGTTGGTACAAATACTACAGATACATTACAGCAAATTGAGTACAACCATTGACCTGGAGTGATTTCCATGCAATACTGGATAACTGAGGAAAACAATGTAAAGTTTATTGATATTATCTCAGAGTTAAAAAGCAGCAATACTAAATCATTCTGATCATATTTTTGTAAACATATATCTACACAGAGATGTGCTGGCATTTTAGGAAAATGATATTTAAAGAGGAAAGAAGGCAGAAAGGGTGGAAGTAAGCCAGATTTCTAAATGATATTCTAGAGTAAATGTCCATACAAAAAGCACATACCTGTTATGATCTCATTTATATAAGCATGAATTTTTAAAATATAGAAATAGATACTTAAAAAAAGTCATTGCAGAAAATGCAGATTTAACCTATAAGCTCTATATCTGAATAGCTTTTTTCTAAAAGAAAACATTTGAAACCATTGAATTACATAATATTTAACTTTCTAGCTGCAGTATTGACGTTTGTTGGGAAATATTTTTATCTTGGGTGGTTTGTTTGTTTTTCGGAAATGAAGTTTGTATACTTAATAAACAGAGAAATAAGGAAGAGGTAGAGAAAGAATAAGGGATGTATAAGAAAGTAATTTAAAAGTTTTCAAGACATTGGTACTGATATCCCATTTTTAAAGAAATACAAACAAAACCTAAAACCACTAACTAAAAGATATGTAGAATGTCTATTCCACTTACAGAATTCTAGTTATCTCATATTAGACATTAATGAATTAATGATTTATTCATTCACTCATTCAACTTTTCAAGCATTTACAGAAACTAAACATGTACTTGAAACATGCATTGTGGGTATAAGAATGGTAAGGCCTGTGTTTGGCTTGTGGCATTTACAAGAAGTTGAGGTGATGATTTGATCAAGTAGTTGTAATATAATATGATTTGAAGCCAAAAAGAGTGCAAGATGCTGTATACCATTAATGTGTGCTATATGAAAAGAATGTTACTGCCTGAAAAAATGTTTTTTTAACATTTAAAAAGTATAATCCTTAATTTGAAATGAAATTATAGACTAAATTCCAGTATTAAAATATTTAAGGTAGTAACTTAAGAATCCAGATATATTTTATAAGTTCGAAATTTTAAGGTTTTCAAAGGTAATTTTGAGTACACAAACATTTAAAATCAGGCATAGACTTGAGAGTTGTTATGCCAGTATCCAGTTTGTATTTGTATTTTTTGCAGTAGGCAAAAATAAGTAAATAAATAAATTCATATAAATAATAATTTCAACTGGAAAATTTTTTAACAGCCAGCTCACTTTGCAATATTAAAATAATCAGTTTTGAGTTGTAGCTGAATCACTTTCAAGATTTTTGCTGTTTCTGTCCCTTATTTATAATAATTCAAAAAGTCCAAAAAAATCTATAAATTTGTAGTAAGATGAATTATGCTATGATCAGAACATACCCTGAGTAGACATGCGTAATCTTCTGCAGGAACTTAATTATCAGAGTACTCACACATTGTCCCAATCAGTAAAACAAGTATGGACCAATCACCGACTTTCTGACAAGCGCTGTGCCAGCCTGTCCTTGTGGTGCTTACAGCCATGAAACAAGTAATTGTCAAGGGGTTACTAACATGGAAAAGGCACAGGTGCTTGGAGAAACTAGTCTAGGAAGTCAGGAAGGACTTTCTAATAGAAGTGAGACCTAAAAGATGACTAGGAATTAGCAACCTGAGTAGGTCATGTGGTAGAGATGGAGAGAAGGGATTTTTCAAGGGAGGAAAAGGCTCAAAGCAGGTGAAAGTATAGTAAACACATAGAAGTTAAAGGAGTCCCTCAGCAGTTCATTCATTCATTCATTTACCAAATACTCATTGAGGGCCTAATAATGCCTGGCACAGTGAACAAAACAGATAGAAATCTCCACCCTCATAGAGCATACATTTAAAGGGGGAAATGGCTTCAAAAATTAAATATATCAAGTGTCAGATGTTGTTAAGTTATTTGGAGATGGGAAAAAGAATGGAGAGTAATATGGATTACTCAGATGGGATGTAGCGGGAGTTGCAATATAAAAACAGAATTGGTAAAGGCTTTATTAACACAGTAATATTTGAATAAAGATCTGATGTAAGGGAGGGAGCAAACCATTCAGACACTGGGTGAGAGTGAGTGTTAAAGGCCCACTGGCAGGAGAGTGCTTTGGATGCCCAATATTCTGAAGGAGGCCAGTGTGGCTAGAGCAGACTTTCCCTTGGGTACTCAAGAGGACTGAGGGAGAAATGGAATGTAAAAACATTTTAAACAATGTGATTCAATGTTGTTTAATGCCGTCTCCCAGAACTACACAATAATCTCCTTTAATGTGGGCATCCTCACACTTTGGTAAGCACTGTTATCTTGCATATGTGGATTTAAAAAATACCTTTTAAATTAGCAACCTCAGCTAACATGTGAGGTTACTGTTGTGTTACTAATTTTGAATAACAAATTTTATTCATTAATATTAGCATATATTGACTTTTCTGTGTATGTGTGACACTGAACTCTGAGATCTGAAGTGGGTATAATTCAGATTATGTTGTATGTGTACAAATTAAATAGTTCTAGCAGTAATAAAAATAATTGTTTTTTTCTGTTTTTACAGCTTGCAGACCAGGATTCTATAAAGCATTTGCTGGCAACACAAAGTGTTCTAAATGTCCTCCACACAGTCTAACCCACATGGAAGCAACTTCTGTCTGTCAGTGTGAAAAGGGTTACTATCGAGCTGAGAAAGACCCACCTTCCATGGCATGTACCAGTAAGTCTATCCATTTTGCATTTGAAAATCCTATTTCCAACCTTTTGGTGTCTTAAGCCTGATTTTTTTTTTTAAGAAGTGGATACAAAATCCTACCATCAATGTGATTTGTCTTTGATAAAAGTCAAGGAAAAAGTTTCTCTTTCTTTCTTAGCATAATTGCTTTTCAACAGCTTGCAGAGAATGTATTAATTCTTCAAATATCACATTGATCCTTGACGTGCAAATGCCAGCACTGGTTTGGAGGCCCTACAAAATTTTCCTAACCATAATCCTGTCCTTAGAAAGTTAAAGCAGTTTAAAACTACCTGAGAATTTATAAACAAAACTTCTGTTCTTTGCTTCAAACCTTGATCGTTTGAAGGCACATCAATTTAGGACCATCAAGTTTGCTGTGTCGGGGAGCTTCCACATGGAACTTTAAAAGTCGTTGTGCTGTTGTTGTTATGTGGAAAAGTTCCAGTTTTCAAACTTGACATTTGTCCTTAAAGGAAGATATTTTTGAGTTTATCCACATTTTGCCTCTCACTTTTTCTCCAGTTTTGGGATTGGAGCCAATAGAATATTAAATGTAAATGTGAAGGTCATTTTAATTCATGTGCTGAGAATTTAAATTATTTGTATGCTCCTGTTACTAAGGTGTTGTGAAATATATGTATACTTTAAAAATAAAAGTTAATATATTAATGCAATGCTAAGCCATGCAAAAGTAAAATGTCACCTCTTAAGGTAGCTGTGAAAGTCTTGTTAAATACTTAAATAAGGTATAGTGAAAATTTGCCCCTCTTGTTGATGAATTGGGGCCAAAATGTTGCTTATCTTGTGTAATTCTATAGAAGCAGAAATAGATTGAAAATTATGTAATGTCACATACTTCTTAGAGACAATGAGATGTTCCATTCATTTTAACTAATGCAGTTTATAGATTTGTGTGTATTACTGCAGACATAAAATATAAAGCATTTTTATGGAACACATTTAATAAAAAGGCAACAGATTCATTAGTAGATGTAATTTTTCCTTTCTGATTGTAAATGCTGAATGACTACTTTCTTCAGAAAATTGTAGCGTAGGAAATTTTTTTTTCTAGGAGCATATTCTAAGTTTATAAGTAGGAAAAGAAAAATTCTAAATATAATTTTTCACCTAATTGTGGAAATAGTTTTGAACAGGAATAGTTTTCTATTATCATTTCATATTCAATCCTTTTTGCATGGTTGCTGTATATTACTATATTATATGGTGAAAAGCATACTCCAGCTTAGGTAGATGGTGGTGTTTCAAATGGCTATAGTTCTGCCAGAGAAGTTCCCTCAAAACTTACATCAGAAACTAAATAATGCTTCCTAGGTGAGTGATAGAGGAGAATCTCCTCTTTTTATTTAACTGGAGGGCCATAAATAGACAGTTGACACATTGAAGGAATAAACTCATTTCCATCAATATAACCCCTTCAGTGAGGTGGCAGAGGAGGTAGTTGGGAAGCCTTAGTTCTTTGTGTGAGAAACTATTAAGAAAATAAATAGAGGATGTGACAAGGTCTATGAACTCAGTAAACTAGTCAGTCATTGTTCAATCTGATACGTGTACTTAATAGCTTAACATTTTATGTTTCTTAGATTTTCTTTTTTTTAAAAATACTTTGTTAATGCTTTTATGTTTACAATAATGCTAGCCTGTTTTGGCTGTACCAAATGGAAGCAGAGAAAGTTTTAATTCTGGTCATCATTTGGCAGAGCTTTAGACAGGGAACGGCATGTGTTGCCATCAGGGTTTAGAATAGAGAACCCAAAGAAAGATGAAAACTTTTCTCAAGTCTCCCCTAGTCTGGCCACTGGAAGCTCTGCTACTTCCTCGAGGACTTCTTTGCCTTGTTTTAGGAAAAACTTCACACAGTATGCTAGTAAGTTCAGCATCTTTTAGAGTCAGACTATGAGCGTGAATCTTGGCTTTGGTACTTACTAGCTGTGCAACCTCGGGCAAATTATTTAACCTCTCAACCTCTGCTGCACCATGCATAGTGATAATAACAGCATCTGCCTCATTCTGTCATTTATAATGATTAAATAAACTAGGAACACTACTTAGCATGTAGTAGATAATAAGTGATTGTTTAATGCAGAAAGTTGTTCTCTTACAATTCATTTTTATATAATTTTTGATAAGTTAGTATTTAAACTATTAAATACACTTTGTTGATAGTATTATGCTGAGCTCACAGCTTCCATCATCTGCATTCCTACAAACCGAAAAAGTAATGTGCTAAATTTGTACAACCTTTTCACAAAATTTATTAAATCCTTTACTCTGTGCATATCTGATATCAGTAAAGTTTTTTGAATTATACTCTGACTAGATAAGAGACCCTAGCAGTTATTACAATATATGCAGAAAAAGCAAGGACCATAAACTCCAAAGCATCATGCCCCCGAAAATTAAAAGATTAGATTGCTGAGGAAGAAAAACCAGGAAAATAACAAGCAAAGAGGCCATTGAATGATTTGACTTAAGAAGAGCAGGGTAGCTTCACCAAGATGTAAAACTTCTGAAGCCAAGAATCAAACAAACTGTCAACATTTCCATTTTTATCAATGCAAACAATAGCCAATTTGTAATACTCTTAATAGACAGAAGCTTCCTTAACTTCTAGATCTTGTGTCTATGATTTAACCATGGCTTTTTTTTTTTTGTCTTAGTATGGAAAACCTTCCAGGGGTTTAAAAGGAGATTTTTAAAAATTTTTCACTTGGTATCAGGGGCAGAGAGGTTTTGAATGTTGGGGTTTAAAAGAAAATGAAGGACTAAAATATTGAAAATGACTAACCTAAGACATTCAGTTAGTAAATGGCCTAGTAGGGAAGAAGTTCATAGATAAGTATAGTATGTAAGCATTTAAGTAATATGATTTCTAAGGACCTCAGGAGACCTTTCCCTGCTCCTTAGTGCTATCACCAAAACAAGAATGACCCATATATTTCTGGTACTACACAGCATGTGATTTCACCATTAAGAGTTTTTAATTTCTTTGGATTTTCACTATCGAGATAGATGTCTTTTTAAATTTCATAATCTTGAGACATACAATACACATGATATAGTCACAAAAATACTTCTCATTTTTTCAAGCAGTTTTAGAATCAGAACAAAATTAAGAGGAAGTATAGAGATTTCCTATATACCTCCCTGCCCCCTGACATACATAATAGCCCCCTGCATTATCACTATCCTCCACCAGAGTGGTACATTTGTTATGTCTGATGAACCTATATTACCATATTATAATCACCCAAAGTCCGTAGGTTACATTAGGGTTCACTCTTGGTGTTGAACATTCTGTGGATTTGGACAAATGTGTAATAACATCTGTCAGCCATTATACGGTCATTCAGAGGATTTTCACTGCCCTAAAATCTGCTGGGCCCATGTTCATCCTTTCCTCCTACGAACCCATGGCAACCACTTATCCTTGTACTGAATCCATACATGTGCTTTTTCCAGAATGTCATATAGTTGGAATCATACAGTATGTAGCATTTTTCATATTGACTTCTTTTACTTAGTAATGTGTATTTCAGATTCTTCCATGTCTTTTCATGGCTGGATATTTCATTTCATTTTAGTGCTGAGTAATATTCCACTGTCTGAGTATACCAGAGTTTATTTATCCATGTACCTACTGGAGGGCAGCTTGGTTGCTTCCCAGTTTTGGCAGTTATGAATAAGCTGCTTAAAAACATGCATGCACAAGTCTTTGGACTTATGGAATTTTGTATTTTGTACTTATTTTTGTACTTATAAAAACTTATGGACATAAGTTTTCGACTCCTTTGAGTAAATACCTAAGAGTGTGACTGCTGAATCATATGGTAAGAATATGTTTAATTTTGTAAGAAACCACCAAACAGTACTATTTTGCATCCCTACCAACAATGAATGAGAGTTCCCGTGTTACACATCCTGGTCAGCATTTAATGTTACCGATGTCCTAGAATTGGGCTAATTCCAATAGGTGTATAGTGGTACCTTATTATTATTTTAATTTGCATTTCTTTGATGACACTTGATACAGGGCATCTTTTCATATGCTTATTTGCCATCTGCATCTTCTTTGGTGAGGTATACACATAAAGATTTGTAGATGTTTCAAATGACTACAGTTAAAAAAAAAGATGTCTCATAATCAAACCAATCCCTCAAATATTGGTCGAGGGTTGGGGTGATCTAATCCTTCAGTCTTCGGCTGGCCCTGGCTATTATTGTTAATTTCCTCTTTTGACATTTGTTTCCAGTGACTCCTTCCTCACTGCCCATAAGTATACTCAAATTTCTGTCATTAGAAAAATGCTCCCTGTCCAATATTTTTTCTTCTCCACAACAGACACCTTGGGAAAGCATTCTTCATTGGCTGTGGCTACTGCTTCACACACTTTAATTTACTATTTACTCTACTACATTCAAATTTTTGTTCATTACTCCACTGCAATTAGATTTTTCTTCCACCACTTCAGGTAAACTGTGTAAGAAAAATCACCAATGATCTTCTTTGCCATTTTGTGTGAGAACCATTTTCATTTTACTATTCATGACAGTTCTGTTGGTCACTTCCTTTTTCTTGAAACCATCTGTTTCCTTATATTCTGAGACTACAATCTCTCCTTTAGTCTCTTATTTTGCTGACCATTGTATTTGTTGCTATCAATGGTTTCTCTTCCTTTACTCACTCTTTAAATGTTAATTTTTCTCTTGTTCGTTTCTTTGCCTTGCCTTTTCACATGTTTTCAATCTCATGGCTTCAAACATCACCTGTAAATAGATGATGCCTATGTTTTTATCGAATCTTCTCTCCCAAGGTCCAAAGTTATCTTGCCAATGAATTATGGGATCTGACAATCTGTATGTCCTATGGAAACCTGCCCACATCTTCAACCTTGTGTCATACCATACTTTCCCTGGTATTAAACTCATGGACTTCCATGATGCTGAACATGCTCTCATCCTTA